CCCCCATCCTGTAATAGAGTAAATGCACAAAAAGACGACTCATTTTGACACACAGACTTACTAACAACACTACTACAAACACTGCACACACACTCTAACACACGTCTGCACTACTAGCTTCCAAAATGCTTTTCATTATAGGTTAGAAAAATGGTTCGCTAAACATTTTTGGGAATTTTATAATAAAAATAGCCTAAATTTTCCTACTCAGATTTTTTTTGGTGTTTTATTTTTTGGTTCACTGTGATAATGCAGTTTTTAAAAATAAAACAAAAACTCTAAAATCATAAAGCTGAGGTTGTGCTGAAAATAATGAGACCAAACATGGCAAGGTAAATAGTTTTTAAAGTTTTGTGAAACAGGAAGTGACATCGGGGGGAACTTTGTGAAAGAAAACTTTCTGCTCTTTATTTATTGAAACAATATTATTTAAACTCTTGACTCTTCTTCATCTCACTGATAGGCTTAAAATAATCTAAAAAAAACCATATATTTTTCTCTCTATGTTGTTGTAGCAATGCTCTGTTCACATGCAGACATTCCCCTTTGACATCACTTCCTGTTCCTTCACATGCAAATATCTTAACAACTGCTCATCTCAGCAGTGTGATTTTTTTTTCGCAATATGTTATCAATGTTATCTTTCCAAACATGTATTCATATTTATTACAAATAATTTTAGGTCACAGGCACTTTAACGGAATAGTTTGGACATTTTGATTGGGGATCAAGGTTGTTAACATCTCGCCTGTTGCAGTTGTTAACTTTGCAAACAGAAAAGTGAAAGAGGAGCCTTCATCTTCTGTCTTCTTGGGTGTTTTTGGCGAACTCCGACATCCTCAGTCAAAACAGGACCAAATTAAATTTAATCCATAAATCTGGCCACCCCCGGCGTCTTTTAAAGAAACCTCTGCAGCGAAAGAACAACATTCCAGCTTCATTAGTTTACATTGCTGTTATTAATACTATCATTACAATTGAACATGGTTTATTTTGACTACTATTACCACTAATACAATAATAGAGCCTAATAGGAGGGGACAGGACTGATTTGGAGTCGATCCACCCCCAGCAGCTGCAGCTGGAGCCCAGAGGGGTCAGGCRTACAGTAACACTTGACCCGGACTCTGTGCATGTGTTCGGAACAAGCATCCCTCCCTCGCAGCAGCCCCGGTCCCTGCAGACCAGCAGAAAGGGCAGTAACCTCTGAAGGCTTTGTTTGGCCGGCCGGAGTCGGAGCATAGGCCCACCATTGTAAGTCTGGGGACTCCTGAGCTCCAGCTCTTGTTTTCTTTGGGAAGCAGGAAATTGGATGACTGGCTACCTGCTACAACAACATCCTGTACTTGAGAAGCCGTCTTTTCACCCATACCCACCTATTATTTCCTTTTTCCATCATACACAAGTGGTCAGCCAACAAGCTTGTCTCTCGGCCTCTCTCCTGGGGTGGGGTGGGGGTGGGGGGGGTTGTCTCGGTTCCAGTCAGGTTGAGATCAAATTGGCCCCATCCAGATGCTTCCGTTAAAAATAGCGAGCCGGGGCGAAACGCTRCAGCTTTTGGATCTGGACTCTGCCTCATCAGGTTCATTTTGTTTTGTGAGCTGACTGGACTGACAGTTCTGGCTGCAGCGGATCTACTTATAGCTCCTCTGGTCACTTTAGACCAATCAGAGTGATCTGTGGTGGGCTTMCAGAAGACCACTTGCCTCTATGAAAACATTCTTAAGGATTAAGTAGCCATTGACACGAGCTGTGTGGGCGTTGATGAGAGACAATCAGGTCTGACCTCAGGAACATCCCAGCTCAGCCTAAGATGTTGTTGAAGGTAATGAAGCCATCATTGGACAGGATCTGAGGTCTTTCTGAGGCTCTCAGAGGACCTGAAGACCAGGACTGCACCTGCAGCTTGGAAACCAACAATCATGTGATTCTTGCTCATAAATCAACACATTTAAATGACTTTTAAAACCTGATCTGTGTTAATTTCTGTTTTTTTTCCTAAAAGGGAGCATCAATCATTTATATATGAATTTGATTTTTAAAAGCCCTCACTAGACCCTCCACTTTGGGTGTTTTATAACCCGCTATGAGGCCCTAACTGTAACTTTGTGAAGCTCTGCTGTAGCATGTGTTTAAGATAAAGTTCATATGATTTTTGAAACCAAATTATTTTCATGTCCGAACCAGCTGAAGAAAACGTTTGCAATGGAAACATCACTTTAGCAGCTAGTACCAATGGACCTCATTGAAAATGATTTAACACAGTTGTTTATATTTTTAGCAGCTCTTTTTATTCCACAGCTGACCTGCTAAAAATGACAGATTTTCTTTTCTGGATCTCTGACAGACGGACTTCAATCTCTGAACTCGTAAAGTTTTTCTTTTCAGTTTTCGCTGTCATTTTCTTGAACGGACATCTGAGGCAGGAAACATAGCCTTATAT